AACTACGCATGTAAGTATGGGCCCATGGGACTGACACAGTAAGTGACCCATTGATTTTCATTAACAAGTTTTTGGTTGCTTTATGAGATCCTTTGAGCCAAAGAATTAAGTTTAATATAAATGTAACTTGTTTTACAGTAGGCCCGTGCCTGCTAGAAAGTACATTAAAACTCCTGTGAGAGGAAAAGCTTTCATAAATTAGAATGTCCATTTTATAAATCAGCCAGTGAAAAAGCACATTCTAACAGAGTGGACATGTACTGCAAGACATGTACTTATTCTTCTTGAGAAATGTGGATCAGGCTCATCTACCAAACTTCATAAAGTAAATTCTAAGTAGGCGTGTTTCTAAAACTAATGATAACCTACTAAAATGGGAAACTCCCTCTGTAGCCACTATTCTGTACAGAATGAGGTGGCTGTAAAACTCAGTTCTTCTCTACCTGAACCTAGAAAAAGCAATCTGTGCAAAATATCCAATTCCTGGATATTTCTGCTGTCCTGTTGTCCAATGTTTCCTTTGCAAACTTGTAAGATGTTTAGTGCTCGTATATTTAAGCAATACGGTTAAAAGATGATTCTAGTAGTACAGGATTTGTAATTGAATATACCGGAAGTTGTTTGTTTATTAGTGCTCTCTATTTAAATAAAATTGCTTTCTGAGTGTTGTTGCTATTGTATTAGGGTAAGCCATAACATCTTTTTTCCTCCAGATGAGAAACCAGTTGTATGTTATGTGTATAATTAATGTATCTTTTCTTTTTTTCATGATTTCTGATAATTTGCAGAAGAAACTAAAGAGGTAATTCATGACATCATTTCTCAATGTTTTCTTCCTACTTACTTAAAACGTATAATAAATTTCAACCTTTCCATGTTTTATATTTTACAGCAAGAAGGAGAGACTGAGTACAAATTTGAATGGCAAAAAGTCGCCCCTCGAGAAAAGTAAGACACGTGGATTTTATCCAAATAAAAAAATTTCTTTTTCTTTCTTAATTTCCACATCCTTTTCTTTTACTTTCTTCTTTTTTTTATATTCAAGCAAGTCATTTGCGTAATTCTTTCATGTCTTCACACTTAATTAGTTAAAGCTGGAACCCTCTCCTAGATAAGCTTAGTTTTTGTTTGAATTTTACATCCGTATTTGAAAACACATTAAAACTAATGCTTACCAGAAGTATATCTCTGAAATTGATGCACATTTAGCAGTAACAGGACTTACAGTAGTTTTATACATAACGTTTTTTTAAAAAAAAATGAAGACTTAATCTGTGGGGTTTTTTTTTGTTTTTTGTTTAACAGATATGCTAAGGATGATATGAATATCAGAGATCAGCCATTTGGTATCCAGGCAAGTTACATAAATTTCACTCTGTGGATGTCTTGGGTTATTTCAAATATTATCTAACTGCAGAACATTCACACGGACTCTCTTAATTTTGTCGCCTGTTTCTCAGTGAGTTTAAAAGCCTTCCTTTTGCTTAATAACACAGACGTTTCTGTAAATGTTAAGTTGTATTGTTAACTAAATTCTGTCAATTGTTTCTTTTTTCTTCCTTTAGGTGCGGAATGTGAGATGTATTAAGTGCCACAAGTGGGGTCACGTAAACACTGATCGAGAATGTCCTTTGTTTGGCCTTTCTGGAATTAATGCAAGTTCGGTCTCCACTGATGGTTCAGGTAGGCACTGAATTTCCTTCAAAGGTGCTGGTTATACATTCTGGAGGAACTTGTCAGGTTTAATTTTGGAAGATTTAAGTTTATTGTATTTCAAATGGTTGATGAAATGGGGAAGAGGCTTCTTTGTTCCAAATGTAGTATCCACAATTTCAAGTTAAGTGTTTGAAATGCTGAGGATCTGGTTTTTTTCCAATCAAACGTGTGAGGTAAAAAAATAGTCTGCAATGACTGTTGCTTTGATCTTTCTGTGGTAGAAATTCAGAAGCTGCCGTGAGACTGTTTATATCAGAACAACGATATTGGTGTCACAAAAATAATTAATGACTAGAACTATCAAAGACTGTCCCAGTTGAAATTCAGGAATACTATTTGGAAAGATGAGAATACATAATTACATCTTTGTAAACCATTTGGGGAAAAAGGAGAGGCTTTATTTTATTTATTTATTTAATAGTCATAGTAAATGCTTTTATAAATGGACAAGAAATTAAGGTTATATTTTCAAATGTCTGGTTTCCTTTCATTTGGCTCTCTGTTGCTTCATGAAATACAGTTGTTTTTTCTTCTCTTAGTTTTCCTATTGGTTAAAACCACATGGCATTTAGAAGTAACTGAGGTTTACAGGCGTGGATATAGTCATTCAAATTGAATATTGTTTGCCTACAGTAACAATTCTGCTAGGAGTGCTTTGCTTTCTGCAATTTAAGATTGTAATATTTTGAATATTCTTAAAATTGTGGTACGTTAAAAAGGCAGCTGGTAACATGGGTGACTCTTCGGGGTTTCTGTATTGCACTTACAGTCACGTGCGATGTTATGTATTCAGTTTTGCAAGAATACTATTACAGTTGCACACTTGATAGCTTCTATTTTGCTGTCTTTCCTCAAGTTATCTATTTTATGTGGTAGCTCTTAGTTTTAGTCCATGTTACATCTTGTCTTATCTTTTGGAATTAGACCACTTAGATACCTGTTATTTCTTTGAGATGAAGCTTCAGAAGACTTTTAAAGGATATAGTGCCTCTTACGCTACTCTGCTTTTAGGCATGGTCTGATAATATATCCTTTTATTGGCCATCCGGTCCTGTAGTTGTTATTCTCTGCCGTTATACTCAGTAAGTTATAACTTTCAATCAAGTTCTTACCTCCTCCTTATCTTAGCAGAAATTGTGCATGGAGGGTTTGCT